CGAAAGCCTACGAATAAAACAAACACGCCACGCGAGATAGGTGACGGCATCACTGCATGTGATGAGAGCCGAGAAGGGAGAGCGATAGAGAGAGAGAGAGAGAGACAACCAGACAAGGAGAACGGGAAAAAAGAGAGAAAGAGAGAGAGAGAGAGCGGAACGTAGTATCCAGAACTATAATGCCAACCGAAGGCTGGCAAGGGTGTGTGGAATGGTGGGCCAACGACGGGACGACCATAGGGACAGCCGTCTCCATCAATCGAACAATATCTATCGGCCTCCCTCTATATCAATCTCACTATATGTCTGCGCATCCCACTAACATTGGTTAATCAATTTGCCGGTCTCGACGGTATATAATAGAATTGGCAAATTCAGTACACATCCATCAACCCATCAACATCACGATGTATCTCTCTATCAACAGCACTATCTATGTATTGATGTCGCAATCTAGCAGTCGATGCCACTATCTATCCATTGGGACAGCTATCGGGACAACCATACCATCGGGACCACAATCCTCAACGGTTGAACTACCTCAAGCGGGCTCACCATCTATCTGCCTCATTGTTTTCCTTTGCCTATATTTTTGCAAACTCTGGGGGGTGACGACCCGCATGTCGGACCAATCCCAAACGATTGGTACCAATTGCAACCGACCTGGCCACTTCTCAACCGGCTAAAAAAAACAACTGGTACATGGTATAACTGGCCATCTAGGGCCTACAATAAGATACATTGTTTAATCGCGTTTTGAGACGATCCAGACATCAAATGAATGTCTTGCAAATTCATGCCGGGAATCAACATGAGTGCCCGGTTGGAATTGGTACCAATTTACATTCTGGCATCTGGGAGCTGTTGTTTTGCAACAAGAACTCGCAACAACACATCTCGCCTCAAAGCACAAACATATATCTAGCACAACAACATTATCCACCACAAATATCGACACGCCTTTCACAAAACAGCATCTCTAAATCCCGATGTATCATCCTCGTTGTCCTCGGCTATTCCTTCCTTGCTCCTGCCGAGGCAATCATGATGCAAAATCTATATTTACACACAAGACTGCAGTGGCGCTTCGCGCCATGCACTTTGGTCCTTGAGGTTCGGCATGCAGACAGGAGGGCAATAAGGTAAACCATCACATTTACGATAACTCGTTGTTGCCTTTTGTGGCATCGGCGTTGTAATTATGTTATTCGTAATCTTTACTGTTTTACTTCATGTTTCCATGCGAATTCTTCCCCATCCTGACCTTTCTTGCGGAAGCTCATCCTAGGAGAGCCTCCTGGAAGCCTCGCGAAGGATTTTAAAGGCTTGTTGGGGCCTTCTGGAAGCCTCCTGAATTCATTCTTGGGGCCGCTGGGGGCTTCCCAGGGCCACCCTGCTTCCAACCCTGGTCTCCCTGGACGACGGGGTCACGATTTGGAATGATTCGGAAGGCAACTTGGGGCCATCTTGGGCCTTCATGGGGCTCTCTTCGGGCCATTTTTTGGTCCTGTTGGGCCGTCTTGGGGCTCCTCTTGGACTGCCTCGAAGCCCTCTAGGTAAAATTTGTGGCGATTCTCTGGCCTCCTGGGCGGTCTCGGACGCTCGGAAGACCGAAGAACTGAGCATTCCTAACACCATACAGAAACCATAGGACATCAATGTTTTTTGCGTTTCGAATGCCTCTTGGGGGCCTTCTTTCGGTAGTTTTGGTGTGTCTGGTGGGTGTCTGGGGCCTCTGCGGGCTCTCGCGGGGCCCTCCGACCTCCATCCTGACCGATTTGGGACCGTTGCCTAGGCCCAGCAGGGGCCTCAGGAGCCCCGGAAAACACAGGGGACCATCTGCAAGGGCGTCCAGGGTGCCCCTGGGGCCAAGGATCCGGAGGGGTCCTGTGTAGGGGTGCGGTTTCGCAAGGTCCCACATAAACATATAGAACAGGGAATATACATATGTGTGCATGTGTACTGGCCTCACTATCAATCCATGTGTCCATGTATCGATGTCTATGGATAATGTATGTGTACACATATGCCAGTATCACTATCGACCTCACTCTCTCTCTCTCTCTCTATATATATATAAATATATATATATATATATATATATATATATATATCGCAATATCAGTTTCTACTGGGCTCACCACATATGTAAGTATGCTGATACTAGCCGGCCGCTGTGTGGTTGATCGGGGGTTTCTGTATACAGAGAATAGGCGCGTGCGCCTGTGCTCGATGCGATGGTGATAATGAGCGGGTGGCGTTGGTGCGGCGGGTGAGGATCGGGAGAGCCAGGATGAGGAGAATGAAGATCAGGGAGGGTGAGGATCGGGCGGGCGGGGATCACCTGGGGGTCCCTGGGGGTGCGCTGGGGGCCCGCGTGGCGATTTTGCAAGGATGTCTCAAGCGAGGGCGCTGGGTTGGGACACGCCCGACGCGCCTGGTGCGCCCGGTGCAGCGCCGGAAAACGTCCGTGGGGGTACCCTGGGGGGCCCGTGGGGCGATTTGCGAGGATGTCTCGAGTGAAGGCGCTGGGTTGGGACAAGCCCGGCGCGCCCGGTGCGGCCGGTGCAGCGCCGGAAATGGTCCCTTGGGGGTGCGCCGCTGGGGGCCCGTGGAGCGATTTTGCGAGGATGTCGTTGGGGTACGCTGGGGGCCCGTGGGGCGATTTTGCAAGGATGTCTCGAGCGAGGGCGCCAGGTTGGGACACGCCTGGCGCGCCGGGTGCGCCCGGTGCAGCGCCGGAAATGGTCCCTTGGGGGTGCGCTGGGGACCTGTGTGGCGATTTTCCAAGGATGTCTCAAGCGAGGGCGCCGGTTTGGGACACGCCCGGCGCGCCTGGTGCGCCCGGCGCAGCGCAGGAAATGGTGCCTGGAGGTGCGTTTGGAAGGATGACGTGAGTTCCACAGAAACTCCCTCAAACCAATGTACCAATATCAACCCACAACTGACATATCGACCTAACGGTCTGTTTACCGATCCAACTGTCAACCTCACAAATCAATTCCTCCTTCGGCCTCACTGTTTTTATACCCCTCGAAATTACTGACGATCTGTCGATATCACGTTCTATTCATCGGGCTAACGTCCGGGACAACCAACGCATTTCGTTCTTGCATGGTGGCAAGCATCTCGAGGCGCCGAAATCGTCGAACGCTTGTCGAAACACCGGAACCCATCGGGACATCCATTTTGACAACCATCGGGACAACCATCGGAACAACCAGCGGGAACAAAGATAGGGACAACCATCGGGACAACCATCAGAACAGCAATCGGAACAAACATCGGGACAACCATCGTGACAACCATCGGGACAACCATCGGAACAACCATCGGGAACAAAGATAGGGACAACCATCGGGACAACCATCAGAACAGCAATCGGAACAAACATCGGGACAACCATCGTGACAACCATCGGGACAACCATCGGAACAACAATCGGAGCAAACATCGTGGCAACCATCGTGACAACCATGCGGATAACCATTGGAACAACAATCGGGGCAACCACAAAAAAAATCGCGGGACAACCGTGGGACAACCACGGGACAACCACAGGACAACCGCGGGACCAAATCCGCCAACCGGACGAGGATGGCCTTTTGCTCGGAATTTGCCCTAATAGCGACTTGATCACGCATCTCGCCCGCTTACGCAGCTTCGCCTCGCCCGCACGCCGCACGCGCGACACTAACACAGCACAGAAACCGATTTCTTTGTGGAGGGTCTCCGTTCCACTGCGATCTCACCCCAAACATCCGATGGAGTACGTGTAAAGAACAGAGGGGAGGCACTCCCACTCATATCCGCAAGAAAGGTGGCGACGGCAATAAACCTCTGCCCTTCCTGGGTTGAACGCCGCACGGAGGAGAGGTGGAGGAGGAGGAGGAGGAGGAGGAGGAGGAGGAGGAGAAGGAGGAGGAGGAGGAGGAGGAGGAGGGGGAGGGAGGGGAAAGTCGCACCAGCCCTCACGGCGTGAGTGGTTCAAAGCGTTGCTTCTTCCACCTTCCCTCTTCCCCTTCGGGGAAGGGTGTATCCCTCCGCCATACCCTCCCACCCTGGGTCTGGACAGGGGGATTCGCGAGCACTTAGAGCGTCCCACATGAACTTGAAAAGGAAATCGGCATCATTGATAAGACTACGGTGTTTGCCACAATTTGGCCTCATGGGAGGGGCATGAAGGGAACCCCCTCCCTTGATCGATCTCCTTCAAGATGGCCTCCGAGGCTTCCAAGGGTGCTCCAAAACGGTACCAAGATGTGTCCAGGAGACCCCACGAGGCCCCCCAGATGCGCCCAAGAGACCCTTAAGAGACCCCCAAGAGGCCCCAAGAGGCCCCTTAGAGGCACCCAAGACGCCCCCAAAAGCCTCGGCTAGAAGGCCAAACTCATTGAGTTGACGGTTTTGGCTACAGTTTGGCCCCCTTGGGGGGGGGCCCATGAAGGAGCCCCTTCTGCTTTGATCGATCTCCTCCAAAATGGCCACAAGATGGTCCCCAAGGCTCTCACGGGTTCTCAAGGACGCCCGAGGGATCCCAAGAGGCTCTCGAGAGGCTCCCAAGAGGCTCCCAGAAGACTCCCGAGAGGCCCCAGAGGCCCAAGGAAGCTTCGACGAAAAGATCAGCACAGCACCACTGATGTTTTGGCCACATGTTGGCCTCCGGGGGGGAGGAAACGCCCCACCACAGCCCCAGTGCGTCGTCCCCGGCACCGCCGTAGTGCGCCTGGCTCCTGTCTGTCAGTGGGGGGCGGGGGCGTTATGCCGTGCCCCGGATAAAAGATGCCCCCCAAGGACATCCCAACATGAAGACGCAGATGTGGATGCTGCTGCTGCAGCTGCTGCTGGTGCTGCGGATCGCGACGGCGAGCCTGGGAGCGCTTGGCGAGGGATCGTCGCGTCTGGGAGCACCTGGGATCGCTTGGGAACCACCCCTAAGACGCCCGGCGGTGCCGCGGCCCGCCGAAGGCCGCCGCGCGCGGCGGTGCCGCGGGGGCCGCTCCTGACGTCGGCGAGCAGCACGGCGCCGCCGCGGCGGCGTGCCTCAGCGACGCGGCCGGCCACGGCCAAGGCAGTGTCCCTGTGGGCTGCGGGCTGCACTCTCCTCCTGCGCCTCCGTCCTCCTCCATCCTCGATCCTCCTCCCTCCTTCTCCACCTCCTCCTCCCCCTCCTCCTCCTCCTCCTCCGCTTTCCTCCTCGTCGTCCTCCTCCTCCTCCTCCTCCTCCGCCTCCTCCTCCTGCTCCATCCTCCGCTTCCGTCCTTCTCCGCCTCTTTTTCCCCAATCCTTCTCTATCTCCATATCCGTCTCTTCCTCCTCCTCCTCCTCCTCCTCCTCTTCCTCCTGTCCATCCTTCTCCGCCTTCGTCGTCGTCGTCGTCCTCCTCTTCCTCCATTCATTCCGTCTCCTCCTCCTCCTCCTCCTCCTCCTCATTCTCTTCCTCCATCCTTCTTCGCCTCCCTGCTCGTGTTCCCCCCACCTCCTCCTCCTCCTCCTCCTCCTCCTCCTCCTCCTTCTCCTCCTCCTCCTCCTACATCCTTCTCCTCTGCCTCTTCCTCCCTTCTCTCGCACACGTCCGCAGCGTACCGCTCGTGTGAATGCCGTCGCACCGTACCGCTCGCGTGCATGCCCGGGCAACTCAGGTTCGAGACCAGCCGCGTGCACATGTCACGTCGTCGTTGATGTCGTCTTGCAACACGTATTCTGCCCAAGAGTACCACAACCACAATTGGGGCTTCGATGTCCGCTTGGCACGCAGTCATCACATCCAGGGGGTACAGAGACGTCGCATAATCTGTTGTCCTTCCATCCACCATGGAGGGCTGCGTGCAATACAGGACCTGCAGCCTTCCAGATAGCTGCCGCCAAACATCAGCCTAGCTTGATCGTGTTAAAAAGGACCATGGGGTCGTCTATCTCACAATCTAGGCGTAACAAGTTATCACGCCCGTACCAACTTGGCGTCGGAATTGAATTCGCAGTACACGTGCAAGCCGAAGCCATACCACGGCGCGCGGGCGGCGCGCACGCCGTGCTGACTTGTAATTTCTCCAGCACCGACCACGCCGTGGAAAACATGCTCGTAGAGAGTACACTTGAAAGCCGGCCGTCCGTTGACCCCGCCACATACGAATTACGACTCTCTCACGACTATGAACGTAGGAGGCCGCCCAGAGCGGTCACCTGAAGCGAGATCCATTTACGACGACGTCTCGGGGTCATGTGCTGCCCGCGTGCGCTCCGCAAGTGGCGCCTCATCATGCGACCTGCTGCTCGTGCCTGGCTGCTGGTGCCTCTCCTCGACCACCACACCAAAAACTTCAAAACACAGAGTTCCGGAAGGCATCGAACATGGAATCCAATGCTTGCCAACGGCCGCGTGACGTGTGCCATGTATCGCCACCGCGTTCGTCAAAAATGCCCTCACACCGCATCCTCGGGTGCCCCTGCCCTGCCTTCCGTGTCGCGCGCCCTCTAATCAGAATGTGGTCGGGGCCTCTGGGGCAATGGGTCTGCACAGTGCGCCGCTGTCAGGCGGAACGCCACTGCACGATGCGAGGGAGTAGCTGCAGAGTCGCGCGCATAGGCCGAGCACGTTGCCAACCGGACGCCATGGCATGCGATTTGCGCAGCACGGCCTCCTCCTCCTCCTCCTCCTCCTCCTCCTCGTCCTCCTCCTCCTCCTCCTCGTCCTCCTCCTCCTCCTCCTCCTCCTCCCACTCCTCCTCCTCCTCCTCCTCCTCCTCCTTCTCCTCCCCCTCCTCCTCCTCCTCCTCCTCCTCCTCCGCCTCCTCCCCCTCCTCCTCCCCCTCCTCCTGCTGCTGCTGCTCCTCCTGCTCCTCCTCCTACTCCTCCTCCTACTCCACCTCCTCCTCCTCATCCTCCTCCTTCTCCTCCTCCTCCTGCTCATCCACCCTCCCCCCTTCTCCTCCTCCTTCTCGTCGTCCTCCTCCTGTCCGCCGCCTCCTCCTCCTCCTCCTTCCTCTCGCCCTCCTCCTTCCCGTCCCTGACCTGTTGTATAGGATGTCGGCGGCGATCACCAGGTCTCCAGCCGGCAAGGCCACCGAGCTGTCGCGCACGTCGAATATCCGCGGCCCCCGCCGCCGCGGGAAGGCCGGCCACGCGTGCGGGCCTCCCTCCCTCGTCCCTTGCCTTCCTCTGTTGCTTCTCCTCCCTTTTCCCTCCCTCCTCCCTACTCCCTCCCTCCCTCCCTCCTCCCTCCCTCCTCCCTCCCTCTTCCCTTAGCGGCCGCCCCTGCTCGAGAGGTTTTGGGTGCTGTACTAGGTACAGCGAACCTCTCACGCGGGGCGGGCGGCTGGGCGTGCTGGCCCGCGCCCGCCGCTGCGCGGCTCGGCGGCCTGGGCCTGGGCCGCGACAGCTGCGGGCGGCACGCCGCGGGGTTCCCGCTCGCCGCGGGCGCGCGGGCCGACCAGCGGCCGTGGCCGCGAGGCAGCGTGGCACCGCCGCGATCGGCAGGCCCGTGCCAGTGCTCGTGTGCTGCTTCGAGTTGCCAGTGCGGTGCAGCGACTACGTGGCCATCACAGCTCGATGGCGTGGCATCACCGTGGAGGCAAAGGTGGCGGCGCGGGCAAGGGCAAGGGCAGGCAGGACGGCCCAGTCCCGCCGCCGCCGCCAGCCTGGTGGTGTGAGCAGTGTGGAGCGCCCAACATGATGCAGGATCGTTTGTGCCGCGTGTGCTTCCCCATGCCTGCCCAGGCACCGTGGGCAGGAGGCGGGGCAGGCCCACAGCCCCCTCAGCAGCCGGCTGGCAGACGCCAGCAGCCGCCGCCGCAGCAGGCCGATCGGCGAGCTCGCTCGACGGGTGGTGCGGCTGCGCGGAGACGGCGTGGACGCAGTCAGCAGGCTGACCGTACGGAGTCCGAGACTGCCGAGGCGACGCTGCCGCGGCGTGCCGTGCCGGCTCCTGAGCCCGAGGCTGAGGCTGCGCCTGGGCCTGAGCCCGAGGCTCGCCGAGGCCGCTCGTCTTCGGGAGCCAGGCGGACGCGAACCGCTCGACGGTCGAGGTCTGCCGACGTCACGTTCGAGGAGAGCGAGATCGAGGAGGGGATGGACACGGAGGACTCGGCGGCGCTGCAGCCCCTCGGAGTGTTGCCCGCGCTCCCTGAGGAGGCCAAGGCGCACCCCTCCTGGCTGGAGCCCCCGCAGACCGAGGAGGCCGTGCTGGTGCACAGGAGGCATCTTCGTCGCCTTGCCATCGCCTCCGCCAAGAAGTTGCGCGCAAGCCGTCAACTCGGGCATTCTGAGAGTGTCATCAATGATTTGGCTCAGGAGTACGCAGTCCTCATGACCATGATCATAGTGTGCCGATCGCCTACGGCCAGGCTGCAGCACCAGCGTGCCTTCGTCGAGAGGGCTGAGAAGCGAATGAGGCGGGCCCAAGAAGATGTTGATGAAGCACAGGCCACCCTGGTTCACAAGTCAGGCGTGCTGTCCCAGCGGTCCAGTGAGCTGGCGCGTGCGCAGCTGCTGCTGCGCCAGCTGGAGACGCACTACCCAGAGCCCAACAGCGACGCCACGATGTCGCCGACTGCAGCTGCCGATGGGGATACCGGCACTGCCACACCGCCAGCGGGCGCTTCGCCGCAGCGAAGCCGCCCAGCGGACGCGCTCACGTCGAGCTCTGTCGCGGCCATCGCGGGACTCCAGCAAGGTCAGGTGAACATGCCGCAGCAGTTGGCAGGGTTGTCGTCGGTGCAGGGCGGGCTGCAGGCGGCTCTTGGCCAGCTCGCTGCGGGCGCGGCGCAGACGCAGCAGCCTGCAGCAGCGGCGCCAGCAGCGACAGCGCGGGATCGGATGACCATGCAGTCCGAGGTGGCGGCGGCGGCGTCGCCAGTGCCAACCGTGCCCGTGGCGGTGACGGGGGCGCCCATCCTGACGGAGGCCCAGTCGCGCGCCGCGGAGGCGCTGCAGGCAGATGTCGATGGCGGACATGGTGTGCCTGTACCAGATGATGCTGATGACGATACGGCTTCCAACGACTGGGAGGCCAAGAAGGCTGCCCGCTCAGCCCGCGCCAAGGCAACTGCCGAGCGCCGAGCTGAGGCTTCCGAGGAGGAGCGCCGCGCCATGCGGGCACGAGGCATTGCGGGCCCAGGGCAGCCGACCATCGTGGCCGCCATGGCCTCAGCGGCCAGCGGGGCGGCATCGTCATCGATGACAAGCAGTATGGAGCCACGAGTGGTTCCTGGAGATGAGCAGCCGATGCCAAGGGGCCGTGATGAGGCAGCCCGCAGTTCAGATGTTGAGAGGGATCGAAGCCCTAGACGAACCCAAGAGGGCCATGGTGAAGACTCGTTTTCGCAGGGGTGAGTCTGCCTGCGGAGGTGGACAGCGCCAGTGGGGATCGGCCGTTCATGGCCCAGCGCGCGTCACCTCCGCAAGGGCTGCAGGCCCCATCGCACAGTTCTGTCTTGCCGCGGAGCCCAGTTCCCGATTGCAGCAGGCTTGTGGCTGAGTTGTCCGAGCCTGCCGCGGCACTATCTCTTGCGCAAATGTTTGTCTCAGAGTCCACAGAAGAGTGCGAGTTGCCTTGTCTTTTCTCGCATCGTCTCCATTCTTCCACGCGCTGCTTCTTACAGCATGTTGTTGCAGATTGTCAGCATGCTCCGATCGGCAATTCACAGTTACAAAGACTGGATGTGTACACGGATGGGTCTGGGGGTTCACAACATGCAGAGTATGGTGGTCCCCCGTCGTGGGCCTTTGTGGTGTGTGGCGTCACTCAGGACCAACGCTGTCGGATCGAGGGGTACTTGGCAGGGACTGCACCCAGCCTTCAGGAGGAGTATGTCAGTGCCTCCGGTCCTGCTGAGTTCTATGCTGCTCTATGGCTTGTATGTTGGCTTCTGCAGGCTCCCGCTTTGTATCGTAGCATGCCAGTTGTTGTGCATACAGATAAAATGATGGTGGTTGACACGGCCAAGGGTGGTGTGAGGTATGAGACTTGCGGGCAGTTGCCTGTGTTCTGGGATTCACTTGTGAAGTTACTGCGCGCACGGCAGCATGTTACGTGGACTCATGTCGCTGGTCACTCCGCACACCCGCTCAATGAGCTAGCCGATACATTGGCACGGCTGGCGTCAATGAAGGAGGTATGCCCAAATACAGGTATGAGGGTCCCGTGGGATCCACTATACAGTGCAACAACGGAAGTGCCATGGATGTGGATGTCCGACTGTGTCGACAACGGTGCGTTGGAATTTCCGCGGGTGTCCCCCGCGAACCTTGAGAGCATCGATGGCCCCAAGGTGTCCCCTCTTGAGGCCCTTGTGACTCCCCTGGCCCCTCCAGTTCAGCCCGCTTCGGCAGCTTCCGAAGGTGGATGTGCTGATGACTCCGTTTCTCGAGTCTGCCTCCTCAGGTTTGCGGTAGCCAACGTCCTTACCCTTCGCCCGAGGAAACGACCCAGCAAGCGAGGAGGTACACGATTACGATGTGCCTACCGCGACGCGGGGGGGGTCGACATACCTGGTCGGATGATGTCGTTGGCGTACCAGTTCTCACTGTGTGCTTACTTATTTGTGGGTGCTCTTGGGACGCGTCTTAGGCACAGCACGTGGCGTAGTGCACAGGACTATCTTGTCATTACGTCGTCTGCAGAGCCCTCAGGGTCCTATGGGGTAGCCTTATGGATCAACACGGTTATGCAATATATTCCAGGTTGCACGCTTGATCGCAAGCATATACGTGTGCTGTCGCATGACGCTCGACATCTACTTGCAGCCATACGTGCGCCACACTTGCGGATAGACATACTTGTAGCACATGCACCACATGCACGCTCAAGCGCGGGGTTTTCGAGTGTTGCTGAATGGTGGGCTCGTATGCAGCGTATTGTGCGTGATACGCCACATCCTGCACAGTTGTACTGTCTTGTGGATGCCAATGCAACGGTGGGTTCGGTACACTCGGCGTACGTTGGTCCTGTAGGGGCCGAGCCAGAGAACGACACGGGTGTGTTGTTTCACGATTTTCTGAGGCAGACCGAGCAAGTTGCTGCGTCTACATTCGTGCAACCCTTTTCGGGGATACATGGCGCATGGCTGCCACCGGGCGCGTCGCCGCAGGACCCCCGCAGGAGGATCGACTACATCACTGTACCTCAAGCCTCTCTCAACGTCGTCGCTCGTCAAGGGGTCGACCCTTCAGTCGATTTGTCTATGAGGGCTGACGACCATTTCGTAGTTACAGCAGATGTATGGCATACCGCGGAGGCAGAGGCCCCAGTGGCCCAGTCGAGCACAAAAATCCAACATGACCCTGCCAAGTTTCGGGACCCTGAGTGTGCCCAAATGTTCGTTCAGGAACTACGGCAGATCCCACAGCCCCGTTTCGGATGTCACCCAGACGATCATGCCCATCATCTCAAGTCCGAGGTGCGTCGGGCAGTTGAGAAGTGCTTTCCTGTCCAGCAATCACCTTAGGGCCGGCTACCTCGCCAGTCTTGGGTTTCACAACGATCGTTGACGTTGATGGATCATCGCGCAGATGGTCGCAAAGCCTTGAGATGGCTTCGGCAGAGGCTAAATATGCTTCTGCTCGCTACGGTTTTCAGTGCATGGGCTGCGGACGGGAAGGAAGTGGAGGAGTGGTTTAACTATAGGAGGTGTGTGTGGCAATGGTCAGTACGTGTGTCCCTCGCATACTCTCCGCCATGCCGCGTGTGATGCTGTGGTCAGTGCAGGACAGTCTGTCTTGGAGTCAGCTCTGCACTTCACCAATCCTTTGCAGGATGCCACGGGTCGTACAGTACTCCCGCCATTTCTATCTACCCACCTGTCGTCGCTGTGGAGACTGTGTCGTATGCCGACTACCCCGCAAGTGTTCAACCTTGTTTGTCAAGGCATGCCATTGGTGGGTATCCCACGTGATTTGTATGTGCTCCAGGGGCTCATCCCGTTGTTTTGGAAATGGCAAGGGCTCCTGTGGGCATTCACATATGTGTTTATTCGTGCCACGGCGTTCGTCATCAACAAGTCTGTGAGTGTGGACGCCGCTGTTCACTATGACACGATAGTACTAGGTATACAAGACGCGTGGTCACACAAACAATTTGCAACCGCGTTTGCGGCACTGCGACGTGTCGGTGCAGGGTCTAAACGGAAACGCATG